GCCGCCGTTGGATACGGCCCGGTAATCAGGTGGGACGCGCGATGAGAAATTGTTGTGGCGTGAAGGCGTGTCGTCGTTAATTCGCATTATACACGGCGAGGCCTCGCGTTAACCTTATTGCTCGCGCAGCAGCCATGGGGGGAGTAGCAGATTGGCTGGCTACGGCTGATAGCTGATCCCTGATCCCGGTGATCCCCCCAACCCCCTTTGCCATCTCCTCGCTCTTTTGTTCCAGGCTGCACCTGATCCCCGACGAGCGCCGGCACCTGCAGTCTCGGCAGAAGAAGAAGACGTGCAATCCTGTCTTTGACGAGACCTTCGTGTTCCAGGTAAAGTTCAAGTCGTGAAGATCCCGTATCCTCTCCCAATCCCCCCGGGTGGAGCCTGCTTCCCACTCACACTCACCTCGGTGCGGTTTACCCAGGTGCCCTCCAAGGACCTCGAGGATCACGTGCTGCGCATGACGGTCGTGGACACGGGCCGCAACAAGAGGAGGTCCGTCATCGGCCACGTGTCCTTCCCGCTGCGCCGCCTCGCCGAGGAGCAGGACAAGCAGAACGTGTACAAGATGGACTTGGAGAAGGTGAGACGGGCTGTGCTATGGCGCGTCGGGGGCGGGGGCCGTGCGGTGTACCCAGGGGAAGGAGGGGGGGGGGTGATCCGAGATTTCACCCGTTTTCGGTCACGACCCACTCCCGAGAGTCACTGTTTTTTTGTGTTTTTTTTTTTTGCTTTTTTGTTTTTTTACATTTTGCTGAAAAAAACACTCTCCAAAATGTTAGTGACTTTGAAAAAGGGAATTGCAAAACATAGGTCGTCCGATCGCGCTCCAGTCCAGCCTTCCAAAATTCGCGAACGGCTCGAAAATGAATGTAGGGAGCAGAGAGTAGTGAGAAGGTGTGTATGTAACGCAGTAGTACAGTAGCGGCGTTGAAATGGGGCAGCTCGCGGTGGGCCGGTGGTTGTAGAGGCGGCAGGGCCGTGGGCGCAGGTCGGACGGGCGATCCGTTTCATCCGCTGCGCCCGCTGCCGCTGATTCCGGGAAATTCCATCATTCCCTGCTCGGCCGCCGGATGTGCGTCACGGGGCGGGTCGGGTCTGCTGCGGGCCTATGCCGAGCATCCTACGGCGTTCTCTCTCTCTCTCTCTCTCTCTCTCTCTCTCTCTCTCTCTCTCTCTCTCTCTCTCTCTCCGCAGCCCCGCTCCTCCTCCCCTCCTCCTCCTTGGTGCGCATTGGTGCGTGAGCCTTACCACTTACCGAACAGCTTATCGTTTTCCACTGTCCGCACCCGTCAGCCCCCGTTATGCCGCCGCCCTGTCGCGCCGTCGGGTCTGGGGGCGGCGGAGACGGGGCTGTGACCCAAGCACCCGGCGCAATACAGACCACTTACTTCGACTCGTCCAGCAGCGGTGTGCAATTTCCAGCAGAAAACAAAACTGGGAGAGATGACGTCTGATACGTTTACGCGCAAGATAGAGGGTTGATATTACTTGAAAGGGGCTGATTCGCGAAACGTCCCTGTTCGTATCTACACGTAGTTGTAGCTGCAAACGACACAACTTCATACGGAACAAACTGTGTTCGTCAAGAATTTGAAACGATTCCACCAAAGAAATATTTATTGCACGCCCACGCGTCGGCAAAATATCGCTGCTATTTAGTTGACGTCGGCCACGTGTTTCCATCATCTCACTCTCTGCCTCAGGACACGCCCGAGGCGGTTTCGGACATCGGGGAGCTGCTCGTCTCCCTGCTGTACAACGAGAACCTGCACCGCCTGTCCGTCACCGTCATCGAGGCCCGTCGCGTCAAGGTACGCACTTTGCATCGGCTGTTGCACAAAAGGGGGCGGGTGGCGCCCCCCAGCGGCGGCGGCAGTGTGGCGGCGGCGGCGCGGTGATACTCCGCGGCCCCGCTGCCCCTGCCGCTCGGGGTATACCGCTGCCGCTGTGGCGGGTGACTTTAAACTTTTTACGCGAAAATTTTCTAGAAAACTTTTTCCTACTATTACAATTACTGGGCGAGGAATACGTTTAGTAGTAATAGTAGGAAAAAGTTTAGTAATACTACAGATTTTTTTACAACAGCACAAAACTTTGGTAAACAATTTCGAAGTGTGGTTCCGGGTGATGTCGATGGCTCTGCTCTGTCACAATCGCGTCCGTCTGTTCGTGTCCTTTAAGCAGTTCCGCGACGAGGAGCGGCGCGACTCGTACGTGCGCGTCGTGATGCAGCAGCACCACGGCCAGGTCAAGGTGAAGCGCACCACCGTGGTCCGCTGCATCGACGACAGCCCCAACTTCTCCGAGTGCTTCAACTTCCACGTGCCCGCCGCCTCCATCGACGTCACGTCCCTCGCACTCCAGCTCGAGCAGCCCGGCACGCGCTACGGTCGTGGACGTAAGTACACAGTCAAAAATTATTGTAAAACGAATGTGCGCTAACTTTTGAAAGTCCAAGAAAACAGTAAATTATACGAAGTATAGAAAAAACGCCACCCCAAAAAACTTTCAAGTACATGTCATTTGAATCAAGACATACCAAGTGGCTGCGCACTTTCACAGTTATACTGTACTGCATGCACGCGTGCGGGTGGGTTGCCTACTCGCACGGGGCTGTAAAGGAGCCGTGGGCCGTGGGCATCGAGGATAGGCAAACTAGCCCGCACTCCTGCATGCGGTACAGTAAAGCTACGAAAGTGCGCGGCGTGAATCAGCTACCTGGTATTACCCGAAAAATGAAGGACCAATAAATTTGGTCGAAGAACTAAGTTTTTCTGTGGGGCACCACGAGTCACGTAGCTAATTGGATTACCTTGTTCTCCGTGTTTGCAGACAAGCTGGTCGGCAAGTGCGTGCTCGGCTCGTACATGTTCGCGCGCGGGAAGGCGCTCACGCACTGGAACACGGCGTTCGGCAACCCGATGCAGCAGGTGCAGCAGTGGCACGCCCTCTCCACCTGAGTGTGCCTCCGTTGACAACGTCCACAACGTGCCCGTCGAGACGCAAGGTGTCAAAATAGAATACTCGAACACTTGTAAAACAAGTGTGCAATATTTGCACACCAACGTGTGCAAGTTGTGATTTTGCACATTACATGGTGTTTAATTCAAGTCGCACGCTTGCGTGGTGCGCAAATTTTAGACGTTTTGTAAACGTTTAAATTCTGCACACTTGGACACACACAGTTATATGCTATCAATAGGGAACCATACGGTGTGCAGCTGCTATACGTTTTGGAAGTGTTGAATGTTTAAACACCAGTTGACGTATAACATAGTTAGAACCACAAAGTGTCTAGAAAATGCACACTTGAACTTAAACGTCAATTGACGTGCAAAATTAAACACTTGTTTTACCAGTGAACCCAGTCAGAAACGGATGGTCGAATCGACGTCGAATCGACGTCGATGTGTCGAAAAGTGGTCGTTGGAAGAAACAGGTCGGAAATTTTAAATGATCGACGTATTTTCGACCTAGTTGGTTTTGTGATTTTAATGCTGTTTACAGCTGTACGGTTAACATATTATTGGAAATTGTGAGTTTTTGTCAACTTAAACAGGACTTGTGGCGTTTCTTCGAATCGACGTCGAATCGACGTCGATTCGACGGTTCGCGTGATTGACTTATTTTGCGTACAAAGCACGTTTGCTCTCATAATTCCATTATTATGGATGAATGGACGGTACTAGCGTACGACACCCCATGAGTTTTCACATAGCCGAGGCAGCTGTGGTACTTCCCCGTCGATTTCTCGTCGATTTCCCGTCGATTTGTAACCTTAATTTAAAAATTAATAGTTAGGGCAACTGAGACATTGTCTGCCAAAATGTTGCGTGTTAAGAGAGAGTTTTCTGTTGTTCGATTCCGAATTCAACAAATGTCAATGGACGATCAACGAGTGGCATACGGGGCATAGCATGTTAGAAAGTCACGGTTACTGATGTCTTCTCTTCGTATCCGATGTGGTAGCGTAGTGGATAAGACGACAGGGCAGGAGACTCGTTTGGGATGTGCGCGGGTTCGAATACCCTGGTCTGCGCTATTTTCGTCGACGGAACATCGACGTCGATAAATACGTCGATTTCGGTGACACATAGTGGTCGAATCGACGAAGTCAATCGACGACTTGTCGACATCGCAAACGACGTCGAATCGACGTCGATTCGACCAACCATTTCTGACTGGGGAAGGGTCACAAGAAAGAGAAAAAAAAACAGTGTGTGAAGGACGAGAAAGCCATGGTGTATGACCATTCTTTTTTCCAAATTTAACAACCTACTATGGAGCACCCAATTACACGACATTAGTCGGACGGCGGGAACTTTGTGTTCGGTAAATGTATATCCCCGCGTGAATTCCCTCGACGATCAAGCGTCGATTGGACGGCCGAAATTGCGCCATCATAGAGTCACCCTGATTAGAGTTTATCTGTACCGATGTGACCGGTACGGGATGAACACATTGGCTCCCGGCTAGAACATTAAGTTTTTGTTTTCATTTGTTTTTTGCTATTATATCGAAAGGCTAGCGACCAGGTGGCACAAAGGAACCACGGAATCCCCGATTTTATAACTATTATCATCTCTGTCGAGAAATCGGCTATTTTTTATATCTTTGTCTGGACTTGAAATTACTGGGTCTATGTAGTGTCGTTTCATTTTCATTTATTGTATTATCATATTTTGTAGTAGAGCTGTGATAATTAAGGATTGACTTGCATGTGCCACCTATACTTTAATTTTACCGCGGTATGCGAAAACCGAGACGAAACCGTAATTTATTCGAGAACTGGAGATAAACTCGAACTTCTACTGTCTGTATTGGGAATGCGCTTAAATATTTACAAACTAGTCACAATCTATTTATCACAATACTGAGCGTTATTATTCATCAACAAGTTCCTCCTGGATTTTTGCAGAGGACTCAGAAGGCCATTTCTTAAAAATGGTCGTAGGGACACCGCAAATAAATGAAAAAAACAAGTCAAAATAAACATACGAAAATATCCATCTTTGTTTATTTCAGAACCATGGTCACTTGCAAGAAATAAAATATACCATTTTCTGTATATAAAGGTCAGTCGGTTTATGGCTGTTGGCTGTTGGGCCGCCGGGATGGTCGGGCGGACATAAATATGTTCTATTTGCGGCGCTCGGTGCTGGGCGGCCCTCCTAGTGGGCCCTACAGCACTAGCGGCCCGGTGCGGCCGCGGACCACTTCCGGTATTCACAGCGGCGCGGACCACTTCCGGTTCACAACGGCGCGGACCTGAGGAGGAATGAGAGTGCGGCCTGGCCCGGGAGGTCTGCTTACTCGCCCGTCATCATCTCCATGAACTCTGCGCGCCAACAAAACACAGTCATGAAATTCAGTAGCCCGCACAGAAACAATATCCACAATGTGTACGCAGCGACCCCCCAAACACACTGACCATCAAAGTCGACCGTCCCCGATCCGTCAGTGTCGATCTCCTGAATGATGCCGTCCAGGTCGTCGTTGTTGAGCTTGTCGTCCAGGGCGGCCAGGATCTCCTTGAGCGTCTTGGTGGTGATGTAGCCGTTGCCTGCGACACACACAAGCCACCGCCAGGGTCAGTCATGTCCCGGGGGAGACATCGAGCCGAGATGGATCGGCGCGGCCGCAGGATCACGCGCGGTGGTCGTTAGACGGGGGCTCCGATGGCTTTCCTCGCCGCCCACCTCGCCTCGCAGCAGCAGAGCCGCTCTGCGCTCTGCGTGCCAAACAGGGCGGCGGCTTTTTGTCGGGGCGCGCCCGCCGGCCCAGTCAATAATTGGACTCACCCTCCCTGTCGTACAGCCTGAAGGCCTCCTTGAGCTCCTGCTGCATCGCCTCGCTGTCCTCCTCCTCGAGGAAGTGCGCCGCGATCTCGCAGAAGCCGTCAAAGTCGACTTTTCCCTGGTCTGTGTGGGTACAGTAAAGTGTATCTTCAAAGTGAATTTCTGGGTAAACAGAGGCCATGAAAAGCCATGCCGCACTACTCACTGTTTGAGTCGACCTCGGAGATGACATTCTGGAGTTCGCCGTCGTCGAACAGCAGCCCCAGCGTGTTGAGGATGGTGGAGATCTTCATCGTCTCGATGGAGCCCGACTTGGTCGTGTCGAACATCTGGAAGGCCTTGCGCAGCATCAGCATCTTCTGTTCATCGTCATCCTGGAGGACACAAAAGGGGGAAAATTCCATTTTGCTTATTATTGCCCGCGCGCACAAGGATCTGAAACGCCAGGAGAATGCTCGCAATGAAATACTCATTTCTCCCTCGCATTCTCGTCGTGACTGGGCCACGCAGGACCGTCGGCGTCCTCTCGAAATGACTTCTCAGGGCGGCACGCGCGCCGGGGCCGGGGCTGGGCGGGGCAGCGACCTGAAAGGCGAGGGGACAGTCCGCCCCGAGGTCCGCCCGACCCGCGAGGGTACGCGAGACCCTCTGCCCATCCCTGCTCGTCCCGGTCTTACCCTACCACGTCTACACTGTAAATATCCCTGGAGGGTTGCAACTAGGCACCTTCCCTCGGCCCACCTTGGAACACAGGCTAACAGAGGATTTTCTACAAAATGTGCATTGCACTCACATCCAGAAAGTATACGTCCGACATTCTCCGTCATCTCGTAGCGCCTGTATACGTAGGCAACATCTTTCCTGCAATGCATGCGAGTACTGCGGGGTGGCCTACCCCGGTTCTCGCAGGCGCTGAGCTCCCCCAATCAGCCCAGACATTATTTTTTTTGAGATAATTGGACGTGCTTTCTGGAAGATACCTTACAAACGGTGCTGCATGGAGAAAAGGAGCATCAGCGAGTTAGACACCTATTGGAGAAACACACTGTACCCGAACAACTGCCACACGCCCAGGCTCCCCGAGGCGGGTCATTTTCTGTTGCAAGCGACTTTGGCGCCTTCTTGTGTCTTCGGTGTACAGCCTCTCTTCTTGTGGCTGCGATCGCAAGGCTGCGATGCCTCTCCGCCCCGCCACGCGCCTCCCATTGACTTTACCGCGACCGACCGCAAGGAGGTAGTAAACTTGGCGCGAACGGGCACCATGTTGTCGCGGAGCTGTCGGCGGGCTGTCCGCGTGCACCCATTCATCGCGCCGGGAGAGCGAGAG